ATGGGACCTCAAAGGAGGATGAGGATATATGTTGTAGACCAGTTTGAAACGTGGTAGACCAATAAGTTCTAATGATAAGAACCCTTGGAAATTAAAGAAAGGTGTTAAGAATGAATTCGAGGTTGAGGAAACTATGGTTACACAAGACATAAGTGAACCTCAGATACCTAACAATGAGGCTTGGGACGCCAAGCTTCACGGTACTGAAGGTCCTGGTAATAATGAGATCGCGGACAATTATGTTATGTCTGGGATACAATGGAACCGAAAGAATGTCAACATTGATGATATATTTGCATACAAGGTAGCACTTGAACTTAAGGATATAAGCGAGGATCTAGAACCCACATCCATATTAGAGTGCACTCAACGATCAGATTGGATTAAATGGAAAAAGCTATAAACGTGGAGTTAAATTCATTAAGAAGGAGGAATGTCTTTGTTCTAATAGTTCGGACACCTCTTGATATTAAACCAGTTGGACATAAATGGGTCTTGTGAGGAAATATATGAACATGCTGAAATTTTGAGATATAAAGCACGGCTTGTTGCACAAGGACTCTCACAAAGACTAGGAATAGATTATGAGGAGATGTACTCCCCTGTGGTGGATGCTACTACTTTTAGATTCCTAATAAGTCTGGCCATAAGAGAGAAATTAGACTTGCGGTTAATGGATGTAGTAACCACATATTTATATGGTCCACTTGATAATGAGATATATATGAAAGTCCCAGAGGGTATTGAGCTCAAAGATAAAACAAGTTCTTGAGAACATTATTGTATAAAGTTGGATAAATCCCTTTAAGAATTGAAACAATCAGGTCGAATGTGGTATAATAGACTAAGCGAGTACTCAGTGAAAGAGGGCTATAAGAACGACCCATCAGTCTGTGTATATGCATAAGGAAATTTGATAAGGGGTTCGTAATCATCGCGGTGTATGTTGACGACTTGAATATCCTAGGAACCTCTGGAGAATTTTCCAAACAGTTGAATATAGAATATGAGATGAAAGATCTTGGAAAACAAAGTTTTGTTTGGGATTACAACTTGAGTACATTAATAATGGAATCCTTTTGCATCAAATGGCATATATAAAAATGTACTCAAAAGATTTAATATGGATCAATCTCACCCATTGACTAGCCCCATGGTTGTGAGATCTCTTGATTTGGATACAGATCCATTTGGTCCTAAGAGAGAGGATGAAGAAGTCCTCAGTTCCGAAGTGCCATTGGAGCTTTAATGTATCTGGCGAGCCACACTAGGCCAGATATATGTTTTACCGTGAATTTATTATCAAGATTTAGCTCATGTCCGATCTAAAGTCACTGGAATATGATTAAACATATTCTTTGTTACCTACAAGGAACAAAATATTTAGGTCTATTTTATACTAACCAACCCAAAGAGGGGTTAATTGGTTTTGCTGATGCAGGTTATCTCTCGGATCTACACAATTGTCGGATCTCAGACGGGTTATGTTTTTACCCATGGTGGTACGACTATATCTTGGCGATCCATGAAGCAAACGATCGCAGCCACATCGTCCAACCATGCTAAAACTTTTGCGATGCATGAGGTCAGCCGTGAATGTGTTTGGTTCAGATCCATGACTCAACACATTAGAATCGATTGTGGGATGTCCGAAGGAAAGGCAGCGCCAACAATCATGTATGAGGACAATGCAGCATGCATAGCTCAGCTTAAAGACAGATACATCAAAGGAGATAGGCACTCACGAGTTACAAAGCTGGAGAGGTCCAAGTAGAACAAGTTCAATCATGTGACAATTCAGCGGATCTATTCACCAAGCCGCTTCCAACCTCTACATTCAAGAAACTTACATATCATATTGGAATGCGCCGATGGAAAGATGTTTAGTGAGGTTCAAAACAGGGGGAGTAATATGCGTTGCACTCTTTTTCCTTCACCATGGTTTTATCTCATTAGGTTTTCCTGGTAATGTTTTAATAAGGCTACATCCAAAGCGTATTATGAGCTCTAATGGTTATGATATCCAAGGGGGAGTGTTATAAATCAAATGGTGGATTGTCATAACAAGCCCAGTTCGGTCCGTCCCATGATCAAGCTCGGTCCAGCCCATACTTAGGAGGCTTAACTTTTTCCTATTTGTATTAGGTTATACTTTTCTCCCTTTGTATTCATCCTTATATAAAGGACTCATTACTAATGAATAAAGAGACACTTGAATTCCCTCTACTTTACAACATTAACGTATGATTTCTAAATATATAAAGCCCCTTAAAGACTTAATTTTGGGGATTTATTTTTTAATGTCAAGACATGTTTTCTGTAGTTTTAAAGATTTGGATCTTTCAACCCTACCTAATGTTTTGTTTTATTGGTTTTCAAGATTTATTACAACTTGAAAACATATATGTGGTCAACAAAGTTTAAGTTTTCTATTTTGTTTAAAAACAAAATTTAAGTTACATAATGATGACAACTATGTATATCACATAGCTACATGAAGTAGATTTGGTCAATAAAGAGAGAGATTTCAGGTTGTGACTATTGGGATTTGTTAGACTTACCCATCTTTTAATATTAAAAAAAGATTGGCTAAAATTAATAGAATCGAAAATTTCCTAAACCCAAACAAAATGGAATTTTAAGAGATTTGAGATTTATTGAGTTTTTAAATTATTTTGATGATTTTAGGGAAGTTCATAAGATTTTTGTAAAATCCTTTCAAATCTCAACAAAAACCATGAGAATTGGATTTCTGTATTCTTAACTAAGGAAATCTTCTCAAATCCTCTGAATTCCTTCAAAATCATTAAAAGCCAAATTCACAAATTGTTTTCAATAACAATGAATTTTAAGGTGGATTTTGAAATCATTAGTTCAATAACAGTGGATTTCATGAGACTTTTTAAAATTTATGTTTCAATAACACTGGATTTAAAATTCATGTTTGTTCTACACAAATCTCTCACAATTCTACTTTAAATACACCCCCCCCCCCCAAATTTTCCTGAATATTTGGGAATATTTACAGTATTACATTTTGGTAGTTTACTATGATATAAATTATTAAATGTTTTGATGGACACTGGATTCTTCTATAATCTATATGTTAACATAATTTACAAATTTTGGTATACCCTTTAATATACATTATGAATTATGAATATATTTATTCTAAAACGTAATGATTATTGTTATAATATACATTATGATTTATGAATATATATATACTAACTGAAAGGTCAATAGGAAATTATTAATCTGCCGCTGTACATTATCTTGATTAATGTTAAAAATTTTAAAGGCGAGCTTTCTATTTTTCTGAACCTCTAGCCATATGTAGTAACACGTTAGAGGCTAAAAACACAAAACACTTACTGTGGTTATTATAGGCTCAAAGAGGATTATTAGACTCAATGCTCAATCAATTGATTAACTACTCATAATCAATCAATCAACGTCCACAAAATGCATAGTCTAGCAATCTTCAACACACATCACAAAAATTCAAATTAACTCCCATAAATTAAAAGAAAAAAATTCCTAGCTACACGAAGCATAGAGTAATAGATAGTCACACATGCCAAGTATATTATTGTACACTCAGCTACACGAAATAGATGTATTGCATGGTCACATATCAACTATACATTGTCATATGGTCAACATTATAGAAATATAATTCCAGTATACCAATAAACTGACTCCGACAAAGACCAGTGTTGACACTGGCGTTGACCGATTGTTGACAAAAAAAAGTTCCAATTTTTTTTTATATTCTTATTTATACTTATAAATTATAAACATTACTTTTTTTTATATTAAACTGGTTGTGATTGTGAATAATTAAAATATATTCAATATATATGTATATATTTTGTATATATCTTTATTGTCTTCATTTTTATAGTAATTAGTTATTTTATAATTTAAAAGCTAAATTAATTGTACCCACTCAATCATATTAATGTAAAATATAATAATAATTTAAAATTTTTGGTTTACTTAAAAAAACATTTTTTTGAAACAGAAAAAAATCTTAGAAAGCAATATTTATAAGGAACAAAGAGAATACATAATAGTTAATAGAGTAAATAGTGAATAATATATATATTTTTGTAAAAAATATTGAGTTAGATTTTCTCAATCTCTTAATAATTAATTATAGAGAATATATACAAAATAATCTTGGATTCAAAAAGAATTAGGAAAGTAGCAATGGTGTCATAGGCTTTCTCTCTCCTCAGTTGCAATTACTGTTATCCTCATTACATATACGTATTGCATGTTATTTTTCAAAATCACATAAACATTTGTAAAAATAAATAGACCAAATTAAGGAAATAAAAAAAATTATATTTTGGTTTGGGTTGACAAAATAGTGGTTAGGGTTTAGATTTTGTAATTAGACAAATTATATTTCGGTTTGGGTTGATAAAATACTGGTTAGGGTTTAGATTGTTTAATTAAACAAAATTATATTTCGGTTTGGGTTGACAAAATAGTTGTTAGGGTTTAAATTTTGTAATTAGATGAAATTATATTTCGGTTTGGGTTGATAAAATACTGGTTAGGGTTTAAATTTTTTAATTAAACAAATTAATATTAAAATCACATTGTTTCTTTAATAACACTTTTCTTTTTTTAGTATGACATGTTTTATCCAGAAATAACAGATACGACGTTGCATCTTTGTCTAGTCTTGAAAGGTAATTTTGATATTTCACCTCTCTGAAAAAGGCTATTTTCCTAAGTTTTTGAGTCAAAGGCTATTTTCTTAATTTTTTTTGGGTCAAAGGCTATCTACCAATGACCCCCTTAATTATATTGGTAATCTCTTAAAATTTTAGTTTCATTGGTAATCTAATAGATTTTCTTTTTCTTACTAAATAGATTATTGGCATTTTTGGTGATATTTTAATTAAAAAAGCAACTTTCCTAAACAAATATAGGCATAATAAGACATGTTGAATGTTTCTTATAAATACACCAAACTACACATCAGAAACCATAATAAAAAAAAAACAAAAAAAAACAAGCAAACATGAACAAATCAATCTTTGTTGTTTGTATCAGCTTATTGGTTGTTCTGACCCCAACTCACAATGCTAAAATGATGATTTACCCGAACGGTGATAGACACTGCGCGATGGCGCAAGGCCAAGTGTTAAGTGCATGCGGCTTGCAACTAGCCAACGACGGAGTACATCCTGGTGATTGTTGCTATGTTATAAACGATGTAAACAGAGAAGTACAAACTCAACAAGCTCGTATATGGCTTTGCAAATGTTTCCAAGAAGCAATAAAGGTGTATGGCTATACAAAACTTATTGGTATGCCTGAAAAATGTAACATTCCAAACGCTGTGCCTTTTGATCCAAATATGGATTGTGCCCAGGCCTAAGCCCATTTGGGATTGAAGTACATGAATAAATTATTATAAAAAAATATGTAAGATTTTCATATTATTATTGTTATTATTAATACTCCAAATGAAAATATGATATTGTATTATCTCTATATTAGTAAAAGAGAAGTACAAAATAGAATACGATCGGGTCAAAATTAAAATATTAACCTGATTTTAACAATTAGATACTTTAAAATTGAATATTAAATTGGGTTTGCATACATACACCGGATACTTTCCATATCTACATTTCAAATTATATTATTTCCATAACTAATTTTATGATTTCCTAATAAATCTCTAACTAAACAATTATTATTCTTCTTTACCTTTTATTTGATATTATTTTTAATTTATGATATTATACTATATAATAAAAATATTTAATAAAATTGAATTATTTTTTTGCATATGTTGCAATTTGAATTTTTCAAAACGGACATATAATATTTTGGAGAATGATTTAAAATCAGTATAAGTATGACCAATATTAAAACCATTGTTATATGAGCATATTTAAAAGTTTCAAAAGTTTTAAAATATTATAATTAAAAGGTTCTAATATATAAAAATTTAGAATTTAAAATATTTTTAAAAAAAAATTGGAGACATAGATGTAATTTTGGAGACATAATTTTTATTGATAAAATATATTACATATTAAACTATGTAAATTTTAGATAGTTTGCGGGTAGTTTGTTAAAATCACAATTATAATTGTAAAGCAAGTTATGAATAAATTTTTTTAAAATGCATTCTGTAACGGGTTGGTCCTTCAAAAAATATATTGTAAGTATGTAATTTTTACATATATTCTACTTCTACTACAAAAATGGTCAAGTTGAATAATTTGTCGAAAAATATTAACTGTTTTTTAATTGTATCAAAACTCAATGTATTATTATTTACTCGCTTTTCTTTTATTTATTTTATTTAAACTTATTACATAAATATATGATTCCCCGTAATCGACTGCATTGCAATAACATTAAAATGTAACATATTGTAATCCGTTAAAGGTTGTATATACGTAATTATTTCTCCCGCGTTGTAGCGCGGGTCCAAACCTAGTTATATGGTTATAGCGGTTCGAGTGTTTTAGAAAGACCCTGACCGTCTTTTTTCTTCTTTGCATACATAACTAAACTGGATTAAACCACATTCCGATTAAACTGGACCAAAACAATTTAAACCATCTAACCCGGATTAACCCAACTTAACCAACTAAACCAGATTAAAGTAATTGAACCAATCAGACATAAATTTCAGCTTAATACCAGATTAAAGTAATTGAACCAATCAGACAGAAATTTCAGCTTAAACTAGATATCCATAATCAATTTAATCAAATAAATTATCCAACCCAACAGGAAACCAACGGAAGACAAATAAAACATCAATCCAACATCCCTTACTAATAAACCATCAATCATCCAGAAATAGCAGAATCAACCTAGCTTGCTTCTAAATTCCATAACTAGCATTCCTAACAATGTCAATACAAAATACATAAAACATTCAGCGAGCTCTTAGATAATTCTTCTCTCCTCGCCCTGATTCCACGATCACACCTTGCTTTTACTTGTATCACAAAACAAATGCATAAGTATTTCCAGAAATACTTAGTGAGATACTCATCCCAACTACTAGGCTATACACACAAGCAGTATCAATCATACTTAGGCAATCACACAACGCATATACCCAACAAACAACAAACTCAGCCGCTGAGGACTAGTATCAATTGACACCCTCCTGGTGTCGGTCGTCAACAGACACCTCTGAAACCCAAAATGACGAATACTGTCGATCGTCACTCGCCACTATCCTCGCGACACAGATTGCAGGTGTCGAACGACACCCACCACTGGTGTCGATCGACATCGAAACCCTAACATCACTCCAGTTGATTTTTCTCGACGGATCTCCGTTTCCTTGCAAACTATGGACGATAATGACTCTCCAGAGGAACGTTCAAAGGTGTAACAACCCGTCCAGGTGGGAACTCCTACCACATGGCACACCCCGCCAAATGGTAGCCTTACAGCGCTGCAGCGCATCGACCCTAACCTCTCTCCTGGGGGCCCAAACTGCGCAGCCCATTTGCTCGCAGCCTCCTGACCCACCAGGTAGGTTATTGGTGCGCCTGGCGTTCCTCGAACCCAGGTCCTCACCCTTTAACAACCTTCCCACTTTGAATTTGGATTAATACTCAGTGAGTTATATGCAGTTTGGTGAGACGCGTTTTCTCTGTTGCGAACTGGGATCAGCGGAGTTTGTAAGTGCGATCGTGGATTGATCGTTTCTCCGATCGGCACCAAATTTTGTAGGGGGCTTCGTGACGTCTGGATCTTGCTTTTCACCGTAGGGATTAAGAAGTTAACGGTTAGTTTATGTTTTAGGGCTTCGTTTTTGCGGCTGTAGTTTTTTTGATGTTTCTGTCCTTTTGGTTCTTAGAGATTTGTGTTTGTGTGGTTTGTTGTAGGGCGTTGTTTGGCTGTTGCAGTCACGAAGAGAGTATTTCCTGGTTGTTTTTGTAACTCAAATCACCTTGTTAAGGTGAGTGCGTGACCATGAGCTTATCTAAGCGATTGGGATTGAGTGACTTGTTGTGTGATGATTTGTAGGTGAACTGGATGTGTTATTGGATGTTTAGCTTGCTGGATGGTTTGTTTTTGTTATATATGTGGGTGTTATCTCATTGCTTGTGTGTATAGCTCGTAGATGGGAGGATCGCCCTCACTAAGTATTTATGAAATACTTATGCATCTCTTTCTTTGATGCAGGTAAAAGCAAAGTGTGATCCGTGGAATCATGGCGAGGAGAGGAGGATGATCTAGGCACTCATTGGTGTTTTAGATTATTGTTGGATTTGTTAGGGTGTTAGAATGGAATTTAGAAACATGTTAGGAGGATCATGTTTTGGAATAATGTTTGGTTGAACTTGTTGGTTTAATAGAATCGTATTATTGGATTTTTGGTTAAGTCTTCCGCTGGATAATATTGTTGGTTTACTTTAATGAGATTGCTTGGTTTAATTGATTTAAATTATTATGGCCGGTTTAGCTGGTTCGAATTAATTGGGTTAATCCGGTTTGCATGTTTAAAAGAAAAAAATGGGATGGGTTCTTTCAATTTGGTATCAGAGCATTTACGGTTCTAGGACAAGATTTAATTGGTAAAAATTGTGATGTGATGTGTGAATTTCATTGATGAAGAATGATGATGTGAATTTCATGCTGATTGATTGTGTGTTTAATCAATTGTGTGAGCATGGAGACCTAGATCATCCTCTTGAGACTTCAATGAGATTCCACGGTAAGTTGTGTCGTTTGGTGATTTGTTTGGTGTTCTTAGCCTTCTGTTGTGTTGCAGATGGTTAGAGGTGGAGCTGTCGGTCGTGGTCGTGGTCGTGGTCGTGGGCGTGGTCGCGGTAGGGGGCGTGGTGTTGCCTCGCGTAGCGACACGAGTGTGGGCCGGAATGCTACGGCCGATTTTGTTAGTGAGTCCCAGTCGCATCAGGACGGGCCCGTGGGTGGTGAGAGTGTGAGTGCCGTGGGAGCCGGTTCGTCCGGGATCGGTACTAGTGTTGTTGGAAACCCGGTTGGGGGTGTTCCAACAGGTGCAGCCCAGGGTCAGAATGATCGGCTTGCGGATTTACTGACGCAGCTCTTGGAGCGGTTACCGGGTGTGGTACCGCCGGTGCAGGCTCCTGTTGGACCTGAGTTGCAGGCTCATGTTGGGCCTGAGTTGCAGGCTCCTGTTGGGCCTGAGGTGCAGGTTCCTCTTGGGCCTGGTGTGCAGCCTGTTTTTGGGGTTGTACCGCATGAGGGGGTAGGTGCGGTGGTCGAGCAGCCGTACTACCTGCGGATGTTGGAGCAGCTGCAACGGTTCGGGATGGCCTTGTTCTTCGGAGGTTCCGACCCGGCTGTAGCGGATGAGTGGCGGGTGCGATTGGAGCGGTATTTCCAGTCGATGAGGTGCCCAGAGGCGTATCGGGTGGACCTAGCGGCCCACTACTTGGCGGGTGATGCACATTTGTGGTGGCAGAGTGTGCTGGCCAAGAGGGGGCAGGGATTGTCGGTGTGGGGAGATTTCTTGGCAGAGTTTAATGCCAAGTATTTTCCGGCGGAGGCATTAGACCGGATGGAGTCGCAGTTCCTGGCGTTGACTCAGGGCGAGCGGTCGGTGCGGGAGTACGACTCGGAGTTCAGCCGACTCTTGGTGTACTCGGGGTGTGCGGGAGATCCTGAGCAGATGCAGGTGCGTCGGTTCATGAAGGGTCTGAGCCCTGACATGAGGGTACGGTGCAAGGTGCGGGCATATGCATCGCGTGTGGAGCTGGTTGAGGTGGCGGCGGGGATCGAGGACGAGTTGAGGAGTCACGGGGTGATTCCTAGTCCGTCGACGCAGCCGAAGAAGACCCAGCCGCAGTCGGTTCCGAGCAGGGGTGGCAAACCTGCTCAGGGACAGAAGAGGAAGTGGGATGACACTTCCATGGTGAGTCAGGGTAATCGGATGTGCTTCAGGTGTGGGAGCACGGATCATAGGGTGGCGAGCTGCCCGAAGAAGGGCGAGCCGTGGGTGGATACCCGTGTCTGTTATCACTGCAGAGAGACGGGGCACATCAAGACGAGGTGTCCTAAGTTGCAGCAGATGGCGGTAGCAGCGGTGCAGCCGGTGATGCAGCCAGTGGTGCAGCAGTGGGTGCAGCCAGGATTGCAGCCGGCAGGGCAGTCGTTGGCTCAGCTGGGAGCACCGCCGGTGGCACAGATCGAGGGATCGAGGGGGTATACGACCGTGGAGACAGGAGAGCCAAGCACTGGACGGCCGATCACAGGTTTAATTCTAAGACTCACTCGATTTCCTTTCGTTGTTTTAGAATTTGTGTTGTTTTCCTGTGATTTTGGGGTGGGCGGTCTTAGTGAAAAGGGTTTGTTTAGGGACCCTGTTGGTGGGCGGGTTCTTGTCCCACGTGATGTTTGATTCTGGAGCTACGAATAGCTTCATTACCCAAGAGTGCGCGACGGGTGG